CAAAACTTTCTTTATGTAAAATTGTTTTTACTATTTTTCTATTGCTTTTTTCTTCGTGTTTGTGCTTTACACAAAAATATAATTCAATCTAAATTGAAACAAATATACATATCAGAAAAACATCAAGTCTTTAAACTTCAGGGGTATCGGGTGCTGCAGAATAAATGAGTCTCTCAGTCTTTTGATTATAGCTTTTTCTTCTTTAAAGATACAATTATTTCTTCTTTCTAAAGGTTCACCGTTTTATTTTCTACAAAAAATATATTGAACAATTTTTTACATACACTAAAAATAAAGGAATGTAGATGAAATTTCAATTCATTACTTTCCAATCCAAAAAACGCCTTTTTAAGTTTCAGTCCTTTTAATTTTATGAAACGAAAAAGTAGAAGATGTCCATTTTGTTTGGCCAAATTTAATTATAAAATAATTATAAAATTTTACGTGAGATACATGTCGAATACTTGTAGTAATCGACAGTGCCTTGTAGAAGAAATGTCTATGGTACCACTAAGCATCAAATAAAATGTCTCATGTGAGGTTTTGATTAAAATTGTCTAAAATGTGTACCCTTCTCGTCTTCCTGTCAGTACTGTTCCTAATAATAATTTCATTTAGTGCTATTTCTGTTTTTAGGATGGTCCATGTCTTCATGGTTATAACATTCTAGATAGAGTGCAAGCTTTCATAAGGCTGCTGACGATGAGGTAAGTTTGTGTTTTTATTTCTTTGCTCTCCATTTCATTGATCTTTTTCTTTAGGCAGGAGGTTTTGCAACAGATCATATAATAATGACAATGGGTAGTCATTTTCAACATGAAAACTCAAATGAATGCTTTAAAAATTTAGATAAATTAACACTATGTCAATCAACAGGTATGATGCTTTATTACAGTTTATTGGATTTATTTTAACATAATTCTTGTTTATCCTATGTTTTAGCAAGTAAATACTAGCGATGTCAGTGTCTTTTATTCAACACCGTCATGCTATTCGTACGTATTGAATAAAGCTGGACATACATGGAGATCAAAAATGGATGATTTTTTTCCATATGTAAACCACCCACAGGGTTTTCGGACTGGTTATTTTACATCACGAGCAGCAGTGAAACGTTTTGATCGTCATTCAAATAATATATTCCAGGCAACAAGACAATTAAATGCTTATGCGGCCATTAACAATCACGCTAATCTGTTTTTCTTAAGTATGGGAAAACACATTGATTATTTAATATTAACTTTAAATCTATTTAGTTTCTTTTAGATAAAGCTTTGGGAATAGCACAACATCATGATGTGGTTAGGTAGATTGAAAATTATGAAACTATTCAAATATATTTTGTACTGATTTTTTAGTGGAACAGAAAAACAGTATGTGGCAGATGATTACGTTATGCGATTGGCATATGGCATTGACAAGGCTTTTGTACGTTTAAAATAACATTAACAATCAAGGCGTTATTTTTTTAGACTATTTTTTTCTGTGTGTAAAACAGCAGATCCTTTTCTTTCCTATAGTATACATATATTTATAGTATTCTAAATATGTCTTTTTACAGGAAGTAATAAATAAAATTAAAACTAATAAATGTTTCATTAGCTAAATGAATGACTAAACCAGAAAAATAAACACCAACTATACCACAATTTTTGTGCCAATATTTGAGTATTAGCGAGTGCTTACCAACAGAAAGTCAAGAACGGGTAAACTGATACAGTATAACTACAATCCAAAATGAATTGATTGTTTGTTTTTATGTTATAGTTTGCATTGACATCATATAATCCGACAGTTCATCCGCGAATACATTTTGCTCGTATACCAGTTACTCGTTATTATACAATTAGGCATGCAACGGTTATTTTATCGGAGCTCTTGGCCGCAGTAGTTTTAAAAATCGGAGAAACCTTTTAAAATTTTTTCGAGTCGACAGTTTTGTGCACAAATGTTTGTTCTACAAAATAAGACATTGCAGACTTTCTTACGGTGGTTCGTCGATGAGATATGAATTTTTTTCTCTAAGATACGACCGGTTACCGCTCAGGTTTTCAGGTAAAAAATTCATATCTCGTCGACGAACCACCGTGAGAAAGTCTGCAATGTCTTATTTTGTAGAACAAACATTTGTGCACAAAACTGTCGACTCGAAAAAATTTTAAAAAGTTTCTCCGATTTTTAAGACTACTGCGGCCAAGAGCTCCGATAAAATAACCGTTGCATGCCTAATTGTATAATAACG